AGGGATAGTCTATATCAATATAATAAGGGGAGCTAAAGAGCCCAGGAATCTCCAAAACCATGGATGTCACTTCTGGTCCCTACTGGACAAAAGATGTTTTGAGGTTTAGGGGTTAGAGTTTCACAAGTTTGGCGAGGGTGAATCGGAAACCCCTCTAAATGGGCGGGAGCCGCGCAACAGAAGAGGTTCAAAAGCAAAGGAGTTAGTGCTTTGGGGCTGGGGGCTGTTGATTTAGCAGGAAATTACCACGTTTTGCTGCATTATTGGATGCTCTGAACCCTAAACCCTAAAACGCGTGCCTGAAAGCTACCATGCAACAAGCCTGCTCGGTGTCTCCGTCAGATCATCGACTACAGGGGGGCTCATGGCGCGCCTTGGATCTACAATTAAGGTTTAGGGTTTAGAGTTAAGGGCTAAGGGTTTAGGGTATAGGGTCTGTAATTCAATCACTTTGAAACAACCTTTTCGGGTGTGGAGCTTCAAATCCGGGAGCTTGATTGCACCCACCCTACCCTCTCCAAACCCAACCCAAACCCTCCCAGCACGCCCGCGGGCACGCCCAAGCTGAATTCAGGGGGCCTTCTGCTTAGGGCGCAAGGTATTCAGCCAAGGGTTGTGTGAAGGTGCAATCCCTCGGATAGCCAAAACCCCTACCCCTCATAAGAATAAATGCCCGTTAACACCCCCCCACCCCCTCAAAATTAGATATTCCCATTGCGGTATATTGCAATATATGGGGAATCCTTCATATTAGGGGATGGGGCTTAATTAAGGGGAGGGGATTACTATGTTGCGAAGAGTTCTTCGGTACTTGTTATATTATTACGTGTAGTAGTTTTATTCCTAGCATGAATACTGCTGTACTCTATCTAAAGCATTTGAAGGGCCAGTTGAAACTGCTTATCAGACACAATTCTGCATAATTAAATTTCTCTATCCTCTCTCCTTCTCACAGTCCCATCCGTGCATGTTTAATGAATTCATGTATTGCCGGCGGCTGGCCGGTTTTTTCCGTTCCAGCACACCCATTTACGAAATCCTATTGGGCCTCTGAGACAAGAGTTGGAGAACCCTGTGTATATCTAGTAGTTTTGAGGATTTTTGGGCGTAGGATGTGAGGCGCCTAGATCTCACCCTAAACCCTTCACTTCCGTGTCGAAACACCTAGGGTATCTCTTCCCAGATTCAGCTCGAAGGCGTATAATTAGTTCCCCTAAGTAGATAGAATATGGGGTATATGGGGATTTGATCATAATACACCACCCAAAGCCATATTCTATCTACTCAAGGGTGACTATAACTCATCACATTCGAAACCGGCAATTTGGAATTCAGGGGTCCTGTTTGTCTGTGTTCTTTCTAACTGGTTCGCGATCCACCCTTGCCTCAGCAGCTCTGTACAGAGTGGCCCGACCTAAAGCAGAGTTCCGCCTTTTTTTGGCTGTTAAGATAAGGAAAATCTTAGGTCAATCCCCCTGCAGGAAAAACCTTTAAATGTGGAGTTAATAGGGCCTTAATATCTCTACAAAAGACCGACTACTTGAGAATGCGGGGCCGGCCCTCGCAAGTGGAGATTTAGACAGGCATCAACCTATAGCTTGCTAGTGATTAGTAGGAATTTGAGGAATGGGTACAGCCCCCTAAAACCTAAACCTTAAAACCCTAAACCTTAAACCCTAAACCCTAAGCCCTAAACGGAGAAACCTTAAACCCCAAAAAACCTAAACCCTAAATATTATCCCCAATAAGGGTCCTTGACAAAGAGCAAGGTTTAGGTTTGAGGGCCATGCCAGAGGGGCTCAGCATGTCAAAGAAGCCCCAAGCGGGTAGCATTTAAGGTTTAGGGTTTAGGGTTTAGGTTTACTATAGTTCCCCCACTTTAGAGTAAGCTTCTCTAAGCGGCTCGGAATTGCAGAGGGTGTTATGCCGCTCAGTCATGAAGGTTGCGCTGCTGAAGTAAGGAGCATTCTCGGATAGGCAAGCTCGCCCTCAAGAGTAAGATTCTGTCCTCTTTTGGGTTGCTGTTAAGGAACTTAAGTTAAGTCTCTACATTGGGGAAACCCTTTTATTTACTCTATGAATGGATACACATTTTTTTTAAATTTATTTACCCATTATGGCAGCTTTGTTTAAGTTCCTTTCATCCCTATGTCCTCCCAGTTTCCATTTCATGTTTCATGTTCTTTTCCACTTTATTCTGCGTTAAAAGAGGATGATATGGTAACTTAATTTAAGAGTCCCTTAACAGCAACCCAGTCTTTTGGGGTTGCCGTATTTTATGGGAACGTAATCTTACTTGGCTCAAGCGGTTCAGGGTTTAAGGGTTTCAGGGTTTAGGGTTCAAGGGTTTAAGGGTTTAGGGGCTTGGGGTTTAGGGTTTAGGTTAGTGTGGAAAAGTAACTCGAGCGAGGTGCGTGTGGTGCACAACGGCGTGGTGGACTACGAAGGGATGTGGGTCGGGCCTGCCTTAGCCTTGGCATCGCCACAATCCTAAACCCTGAGCCCCATAAACCCCAGCCCCAAGCCTTTTTGAAGCCTTCAAGCCACAGTAATCCCCCTCCCCTAAAATTACCCCCCTCCATCCCCCAATATCAAATACTCCCATTAGGTGGTATGTTGATGTTGTACTATCTTAAGGAGTCTCTCATATGAGGGGGTGGGGGGGGGGGGCGTTAATATTAGGGGGAGGGGGTTAGTTCAAACCAGCGACGTCTGTCTCCACTGCAGAAGCCTGAACATTTGCCGGTCCTCTGCACCTCCTTACTCGGTTCAAATGGATTAGGCCCTACATGGTAGTTTAGGGTTTAGTTAGAGCTGAGTCTGAAAACGTGGGTTTCCAGATGGATTCTGCGTTGATTTTGCAACCCGAAGCACCAAAGTACTGGAGTGGTGGGTGGAGAAATCTTGCACCCTTAAGATCACCAAAGTACTGCAGATTCGGGCTTAGAGTACAGGTTACACAGGGTGCCATCCAGAGTCTGACTTGGCAACTGCAGTGGCTTTTTCGAAGAATTCAAAAGCTTCATGAGAAGATGCGCGCCGGGACTTCTAAACAACCAAGGCCCCTGCCCCAAGGGGTCCTCTGATGTAGGGTTTAGGGTTTAGTGTTTAGGGGTTTAGGGTTTAAGACCCTGAGCCCTAAGAACCCCTCATTTGTCGCGGGCCATCAAAAGATTACATGCCCGTATAACCTCCTCAATGGTGCCCTTGAGGGTTCCCTATTCTTCGAAATCCCCATGTCTTACTGGTTCTTAGTAGCGAATAAAAGAATATAATCCCTAGATAATATATTCCAATATGGCCTACTAAGAACCAGTAAGATGTCGGGAAGGTTGGAGTCAACGACGCCTCGGATGGCTCCATCAAACACAAAGGCCAGCCAGACGGTGTCGAGTTTCCCCTGAACCCTACACCCTAAACCGCTCTACTTATTGTCAGTTCGTATTAGTGGAGAAATGAGTCCTTATTATGGTAGTCCTTAGATGGTAGTCCCTGGATATAGCCCCTTTCTTTCCTCAGAAGAATCCATATAACCCTGACCCTTCTACTAACAACCGGTAAGTCAAGTGTGGTTAGGGTTTGGGGCTTACAAACCGTTGTGTTGGGCATGTGCATGACCACTGGATAATTTTGCACTAGTTATCATAGCTGTTTGCTTCAATTGTCGAGGCCATGCCCGACGGTAAGAAAAGCCCGAATAGCTCCGTGGAGGACATTTTACTGGGTTGCTGTTAAGGATGGTAATTTATTTTAAGTTCCTGAACCCTAAACCTTAAACCCTAACAGCATCCAGTTTTAAGCAAGAGGAAGCAGATCTTTTCAGATCCAAGTGGTACTAATCCTCCTAAACAAGCCATCGCCTCAGTCCACATTTTCTTGTGGGAGCCTTTAAATTCGGTTCCTACACCTTAGAAGAACTTCTTAGGCTTCAGTATCATGGCATTTGTTCCTTCGTTTTTCCGTCGATCTCTTTGCAGAAATTGGTGCAGAAATTTAATACTCCCTCAGCATATGGGAAATAGGCCCCTGCAATCACAAAGCCCCAGTCAGATGTGGGCCTAAACCTCAAGTCCTAAACCCTAATCTGGGTTGCTGTTACGGAATTTCAGTTTGCGTTACTATATTGGGGAGACCGTGTTAATTACTATATATACCCATCACGGTAGCCAAGTTTAAGTTTGTTAACAGCAACCCAATACCCTAAACCCTAAATCCTAAACCCTAAATCCTAAACCCTAAACCCTAAATCCTAAACCCTAAATCCTAAACCCTAAATCCTAAACCCTAAACCCTAAAGCCTTAAACGGTTCACCCAAAGTCTGGCGTCCGAGGCTTAGTCTTAGATGAGCTTCCACGAGCCGGCACGCGCACCTTTGAGGCTAGGCCGACGAAAGGATGCATCACGGTCTTAGGGCTTTTAGGGGCTTCAGATATAGGAGTCTGGGGTTCAGGGGCTTCGGATGTAGAAGTCTGGGGTTCAGGGGCTTCGGATGTAGAAGTCTGGGGTTCAGGGGCTTCGGATGTAGAAGTCTGGGGTTTAGGGGCGTCGGATGTAGAAGTCTGGGGTTTAGGGGCTTCGGATATAGGAGTCTGGGGTTTAGGGATTTGGAGGTTTAGGGGTTTCCCAAGATTAGGGAGTCTACAAATGTTGAGGAAGTAGTATACAAGGAGTCATATTCTTAATAACGGAGAGTCAAATGGAACATGAAATACAAGCTAAGATGCTCTAGGGTTATAGGCATGAGTGTTTCCCAAACTTAGAGGTCCTTTCTTTGAGGTCCCCAGAATCAGGACTGTGGTATCTGTATCTTGGAGTTTCTATTGGGGTCCTCCTACTTGCGGACAGTCTCATTCAAGTAGAATAGGGGCTTTCGGGGATGTTTTAAAGATCTACAAGGAGTATGCCAGTAATTGTTCAGCTTCTAAACTATGGGCGTTGATCTCAGAATTGCGAGGTCCGTTTCATAGGGGCTTGTGGGGAGCATCCCCCCCTTTGTCTGGGCATTGCCATATGGCCATATGGATGTGTGCTCAAATCTGTTTTTTGAGCTTTTCGATTCAGGGCTTACAAGTTTGTGCTCCAAAACAGATTCCCCAATACAAGGAACAGTACATTGAGGAAACTTGCTATCTGATTGTTTGTCAAAATTACCGCAACTCCTTTGCATATGCGGGACACAGAAGGACCTAAGAGATGAGTGAGAGGCCTTCTGAAACCGTAGTTGTAAATACTGCCTCAACTTCATCCTTGAGGTATTCTCTATTCACTGAGGAATTTCCAGCAGGCTTTTGCTGTAGAAGACCTTAACTGGTTAGCAAATGCGAGGATTCGGGTGGCTCCCACGCTTTCAATAAGGACGCTATTTAGGGTCATATGGTAGTCACGAGGCGGACCCCCACCCTGTAATAGTGGCTATACGGGATGATAAGGGTTACATTAGGGTCCTCTTATTCCACTATTAGAGGATGGGGGGGTGGTTTTTTCTCATCTGCTAGGCCTCTGCCATGGGGGCTTTGCTTTGCGAACAAAGAGGCAGCATGAAGACTTCTAGTTCCGCGCTACCCTGAATCCTGAAGCCTGAGCCTTAAACTCCCATTGCTCCAAGCTTCAAACGAACGCCGCACCAAACAAAACTAATCTTCTAAACCACCAACTCTAGTTGGTAGTTTCCCAAAATACTATAGACCTTATTATGGGGACCCCTAAGAAGGAACCCCCAATTTTGGGAAACCCCCAGTTCTTGAGCCCTAAACCCTCTTTCTCCCTCGGCCCTAGTTTGGAGCAGGTTCCTGCTAAAGTCTATAGTCCTCCTGAATTAGATAGAACAAAGGGTTTAAGGGTATAGTCCCCTTGAGTAAATAGCATATGGCTTTGGGTAAATTATAATAAGATCCCCATACACCCCATTTTCCATCTACTTAAAGGGGGCTCTAAACCCTCAAACCTAAACCCTAAAGAACCCTACTATAGTGGTTTCCATTCTCTTTTCCATTATCCTTGTATAACTCCTAAAATATACCCTATAATCCTTATGTAGACCCTATAATCCCTATATAACTCCCAAATATACCCCATAATACCTATATGAACCCAAATATACCATATAATCCCTATATAACTCTCAAATATACCCTATAATCCCTATATAACTCCCAAGTACACTTTATACTCCCTATATAACCCCAACCCCAAAGCCTAAAATCCCTATATAACCCCAATTACTGGACTAGCTCGCGAGGTGATGCTCGAGCAGCTGCCACCGCACACTACGGCCCCTTTGACTCGAAATGGTGGTCAGCTCATATGGATTTGAGGATTTAGGCTTTGAGAATTTAGGTTTAGGGTTTAGGATTCAGGGATTAGGGTTTTGGATTGAGGGTTTAGATGAATATTTAGTTGGTGTGCATGGGTTGAGTGCACCCTCCCCCAAGCTAACATGGAACCTGTAAACCCTAAACCCTAAAAATCTTCGCACTTTTCTTCGAC